AAGGCTGGTTCATAACAGTTTAGAAAGATGATTGTACATATAGAACAAACTTTTATTGGGAAGTAAGTGCCACTGAATTCAAAACGACTTACCCCCAGGCAAATGTGGGACTTCAGGGTCTCAATAACTGATTGCCTATGCAAAGCCTGGTAAATTTTTGGATGTGTTGATAGTTTTGATTTTCTTATAACCTATGCCAGTCTTTCCCACATGGCACAAGTTGCATAGCTAAAGGCGCTGATGCCTGAGCATTCAGCCATTCAAGGAGGGCCACAGCTGGCAACTCTGTGGACAGGTCCCAGCCTTCAAGAGTGGCTTTTTGGAATGCAAGGTAAATGGGAAGGTGTGCCCCCAGCTTGTGCTTGTTTCCTAATAACAGTGCTGAAAAGATAAGTGCATCTCAGTAGTTTGGGCTTAAAATTTCTGCAGGGCAGTAGTCCTATCATCTTTACTACCTTTTGTCCTTATGTTCATTACATCACTGCATGCATATGGTTTTGCTTCCAGATGTTTAACGTTTCCATTTCCTCAGGAAATCATTCTCAGCATTTGTTAAAACTTTTGAATAAGAGCTGCTATTTTCTTGGCATCTGCTCAGAGAATGACATAACTGAGGCCAAGGCAGGCCTCCCCCTCCCCTCTCCTGTAGTCTTTCCTCAGTCCCCCTCCCCTTTTGTGACTGGTAAACTAGAAGGGAGAAGTATGGATGATTTGGCTGCAGCTCAGCTCTCCCCAGCCTGATGCCTTCCAGATATGATGGACAGCAATGCCCGGCATGGTATTCTGTCTGGGAATCATTTATTTTTAAAATTTCTACCCCACCCATTAGCCAGGATGATTCTCTGGGTGGCTTACAGAAATACAAAACAACAACACCACAATGAAACAATAAAGTTAAATCTAGCACAAATGCTTATACCAATAAAATAACAACATTAATACATTTGCTGAACCCAGCACATTTCAAATGTCTTCAAAGAACCCAAGCAGAAGGCCAGCATTTCACTTTCATCCCTGAAGAAAACATTTGTAATATGTCAGGCTGTATACTTCTGTACACCCATGGGTTTTCTTGTTACTTTTGGGGTTGGGATTTTGATAAGCATCTAGGAAAAATTATCTTTAAGTTTGTGTTCCCTCAATACTCCACATTGTGTGATGTGCAGATTTAGCACCCAGATCACTACTGTGTCCCAGATTGGTACCAGGAACCAGATACCCTGATCTGGCAGCACCAGTTCTGGCCTACTGGCTGCCTGCACAATTCCGAGCAGTTTCAGGTGTTGACTTTTGATTCTCAAAGCCTTAAATGGCTTGGGTCCACAATAGTTGATGGAGCACCTTTCCCAGTCTGATGACAGCTGCATCCTATTCTTATCATCTGGGCCCCTACTAGATGCACCTTCTTTAAGGGTGGCTCAGAAAATGCCAACAAAGGAGAGGACCTTCTCAGTAGTGACCTTCCAAATGTGAAATGGTTTCCTTAGTGAGAATCGCCTCACGCAATCGTTTCTGCATCAGTTTAATAAACTTAAGACTTGCCTCTGTGGCCACGTATTTGACAGCAAATGATAAGCTCTTTCTAATGAGCCCTGTGATTTTCTGTTTATCATTTAAAATTGGTTTTCTATTATGTATTTTAAGGTTTTAATATTTGTAAATTGCTCAGAGAGATTTGGCTATTGGGCAGTATAAGAATTGTAATTGAAATGAAATATAGTTTCTTGATTGAGGCCTTAGAAACATTTCTGCATGACTTAAAAAGGAATAAAAATTTCATTAATTATTTTGCTAGCAAGTTCATGCTCTTCTTACAGATTAACAGTGCCCAGAACTGGATGACTTACAGCTATTATATGTATTCTTGCATAATACAGGGGTGCTTTTTTGGCATTACACTTTTTCTTAATAAAAATGATGAACATTTTTGGACACAATATTAAATGCAATCCAGAAGGTACATACAGGGCATGTAAAAGTACAGAAGATCTTGTAGGGTTTTTTTTAAAGCTCCTTTAAAAAACAGAAAAGGAAAAAAATGATCTAGGTAGTAGGGGTTACTGCTAGGAAAAAGAGGGATAATGCCATATATGAGCTAAACTACTGACTGATTGTGGTCTGGATTACTCCAGGAACAGATGTGCACTTGGTTCTGCTCTGGGACCTTTAGATCATTTCGTGGTGTGTGGATCATATGCCATTTCTTCCTAACCATGGATTGCCCTCTGAATCCCGTGGACAATGGCAGCCAGCACAAGGAGAATGTGCGTTCTACATTTGCCCCAAGATCTGGCAGTACTAATTCTTTCTAGGCTAGAAAAATGCATTTTCTGTCTTACCATGGAAAGTGAAAAAGAAATAATGACACAACAAGTGCCTCTATCTCTGTGCTTAGACTGTGCTGGTCAGGTAGATTGCTGTGTACGTCTAGAGAGGTCAGAGCCACCCACTAGCTAAGCATGAGTCTATTTAAGTAGTCAAAAGCCAGTGTGCTCCATAGCTTTCTCGGGGGCCCTTCTCATGTGCTGTAAGTTGACCAGATAGACCAGAAAATGACTGATAGTAAACATTTTAATAATACCACAATGGTCAGCTGGAAGTTTTAGTTGTGCCGAGAACTCCAAAGATCTGCAAATCTCTGCAGGTACAAATCTTGTATTCACACCCAGGTAGTTTAATTTTTTGATAGTGTGTGTCCTTGACCACTTGCATTCCTGTGTGTGCGTTTTGTACAGAGAATTTGCAGACAGTATAGCTTGTGTGGTGGTGCGCTTTGAGTGTTGGACTGGGGACCTGGGAGCCGTAGCTTCTGCTCCCTTATCTGCCTTGAAGCTCCCTGGCTGGCTGTGGCTCCCTGGCTTACTCTCACTTAGCCTACCAGGGTTGTCATTATGGGGATAAAACAGAGCTGTGTTAGCAGTCTTGAGTTCCTCACAAGGGGAAAAGAGGTAGGTTATAAATGCAGTGTGTGGGGTGCTGCTACTGCTGCTGTATCCATGTGGCTTGACGTCCTATAACTCTTTCAGTGTAACCTTTGCAAGGACAAGCAGGTAGGCGAGGAGAGCCCATCTGCTGGATCACTGGTAGATGATCTTAATGCTACCTGGAAATTCCCTTTCCAAGTACTGCGATCTGCAGGATCCTGAACTGGAATCCTTGAGTGGATGAATTGTTCCAAGACTCATGAAAGAGTTTTGGTCCCAGCTTTATTTTCCTTGGAAGCAAAGGACACATTTATGTTCAGAGAATCAAGCCAGTGTGGTGTGATGGTTTAGAGTTCAGGACTAGGGACCAGGATGCATGTGCCATGGAGCTCACTTTGGGCCAGTCACAGACTCTCAGCCTGAGCTACTTCATAGGATTGTTTTTGTGAGGATAAGATTGAGAGGAGGAGAATTACATAAACTGGGCTGAGTTTCTTGGAAGAAAAAAAATCAGGATATAGCTATAGTAAAGAAAAGAGAACAATCATAACTAGTTTTCAATCCTATGTGTTTCCCTCTTATGCTCTGGGGAAATGTTGTGTGCTTTTCATTCCTGGGTAAGGGGCCAATAGAAAAAGGAAGATTTTCTCTACATACCGCAGACTGAACAGGCAAGAGCTGTTACTGAAATAGAGGTTCTTACAACTAAGTGCATGTTTAGACATAAAGAGATATAACTCCTGATATTCTCCAGCCAGCAATGTCATCTGAAGAATGCTGGGAGTTGTAAGACCTCTTTCTGTCTAAATGTGCTTAAAGGTGCAATATCTTTGCAGTTCAAGAAATATAGTACTTTTTCCCCTCAAGATGGAGGAAAGATTCTGTACAAACTGTGAGGGTTCTCTGTAATATGTGGAATTGGACACCTTGTCTCCCTGTGATGAAGCATCATGTGTTAAGATAAGGGGTAAGTTGTTGTAGCAATAATAGGAATTGCCATATGAAGCTGAGAAAACTTGGGGCAAGAATGTTTAAGGAAACACAGTCTGTGGTTTAATACTTCATGATTTTTTTTCTGTATAGCAATGCATATAACTGAAATAAAATTATCACTATTGCAATTTATTAGGTATTTACAGTAATAACAGTCTAATGCAACAGCTGGTTTTATACTTGTGCCAAGTTAATTCAAGTTTTTCGCATATTTCCCCCACACATACAAACTGTTTAGAGTTGTTGTTGTTTTTAAATAATGTTCCTATTCAGAAATTGCGTGATCATAGCAAAGGGAAATGGAAAGAATGTATTTTCCCAAGTTTATATTGGGAAATGAATGCAGCCCCTAACAAATGGAGAGCTCTATCCATTGAGTCTCTCATTAAGAGATTCACTTAAAACAAACATTTTAGCAAATGCACGTACAGCAGCTTATTGGCCTGGCAGTGCAGTTCAGATGGTGGGATGCGGAGTGTGGCACATGCAAGGAAAGTCTTCCCCAGCCTGGAGCCCTTCAGAAGTGTTGAACTGCAACTCCCATCATCCTCAGTCAGGCATCATGTAGCCTGGGGCCCAAGCTCTAATGAGTCTGGATCCCATGGCTGCTGCCTAGCAAACTCTGAATTGGCTGTGGCTGCTGGGAAGAAGTATTTTCTGCTATTGTAAAGGGATGGAAGGAACAAGGAGCTATGAAGAACATAGAATCTCTTCCACCAGTGAAAATCTTTTTCCAATGACCAACTTTCTTGTTTCTGGGGTTTCAGCACATATTACCAACCTATTTTCAAGCCTATCTTTACAGTCATATTTTGGAAAAAAAATGCTAAGATGCTCAGGATGGTTTTATATCTAATACCAATTTTTCTGTGCCCATGGCACAACTGCAAAATGTATATCGTCTTGGTCACAGCCTTCTATTTCTGTGAATTATTTGTCTGTGTTAGTCCATTTATATGGTTCATGCTTTTATTTTATGTCTTTAAACACACACACACACACACACACACACACACCCTTATAACACTGTAAGGCATGACAAAGTACCCCTATTTTTCACCTTCTTCTCTTTATTTCCTCCAGAGAGAGATTACTACAGTTTATGTGACAAGCAGCCAGTAGGAAGACTTCTCTTTCGCCAGTTCTGTGAGACTCGCCCAGAGCTTGAGTGCTGTATTAGGTTTCTTGACTCAGTGGTAAGTTGGTTCTCATGACACTTTATTGCAACTTGTTCCTCAGTAAAAACTTTATGGGTCCCTTTACACAGGTACCAAGAATAAACCCTTGTTTCTGGAGGAAAATATCTCCTCCACATCTCCTTGGGCTTTCTGCTCATGCCACAGACTTGTACCTTTTCCATTTCATGTTTTTGTGCCCCAGTCGCGATTCTCTTTTGTGGTGGGGGATGGGGGGGGGGAGAAAGAGAGACATTTGTTATACATAACCTTCCCCCCACCCCTTTCACACGATGGGTTTCTGTTTTATTGACCAGTTTGCTGTCTTATCAAGGCTCTCAATCCCCAAGGATTGCATTAAGAGGTTTAGATGTAGGTGAGCTTGTGTTCTGAGATCTTCTGGTGTAACTCTTATTTCTTATGTACTCCATGGCGGTAAAAGGGAGGGCTTTCTTGGCTGTGGCATCCTGGCTATGGAACATCCTCCCTAAAGAAATATGCCATGCCATGTCTAGCACCAGCACCAGCACCATCATCATCATTTATCTTCATGGTCTCCATGCATGACGCACATGCACGGAGACCGTTCTGGAAGATTCCAAAGATAATTAATGTACCCATGATGGTGGTCAAAGAAGAACTGAGTATCGGGGGGAGCCCCTCCCTCGTGCCAGGGTACGCCTAGGGGAAGAGCTCCCACCAAGTAGCAATGAATTAGCTTTAGGATCTTCCTGAACAGGCTCCATGCATGCGCAGATGACCACTCAAAGAACGAGAGTTACAAGTAAGCAACCTGCCTTTGACATTGTATTATTATTGCATTATGTTTATACCATGCACCCCTTTCTATCGTTCACAAGAAATCAAAGGAGGCTTACAACATTCTCTTCTTCCTCATTCTATCCTCTCAGCAACAACCCCGTGAGGTAGGTTAGACTGAGAGTCTGTGCTTAGCCCAAGTCATCCAGTGAGCTTTTATGGCTAAGTGAGGGCTAGAAGCTAGATCACCCAAGTTCCAGTCCACCACTTTAACCACTAGGCCATGCATTGCATTCTTTTAGACTCCACCCATTAAGGCAGTTTTATTTTCCCAAGCATTTTAATTTGAGAAATGCCTCAGCCTGCTGCCTCATTTTGTTGATGTTTTGATTTGATTGTACATTCTCATGCTTTATGATAAATGTGGTGTCCACTGCCCTAGAGTCTATTGGATGTATATCAGATAAATAACAGAGTGATCCTATGCCCCTAGACAGTATCTAGAGATCCATAGGATTCTTCCCATTCCCCGGCCTGAGGGTGAGACTGAAGCTCAGTACTCATATCCCCTACTCTCGGCCACCATGGAGAGAACCATGGTTATAAAATTCAGCTGCAAACTTGGAAGCGGGGGAGATCCAGGGGAAAAAGATGAGACAGGTGTTGCCAGGATGTGACGTATGCTGGCAATGCTCCAGCCTCCTTCCCTCTCCATCCAAGACATTGCAGCTGGATGGCCAAAATTAGCCACATATCCAAGGGCATTATTTTCCTAAGGAAAGTCATATGGAATACAATTGTAAAATTCGAGACTACTGAATTCTGATACCGTAGGGTAAAACAGCCAGGTTCTATCATACAACTGTCACAAGTAAGCCCAGAAAATGCTGCTTTGACAGGTTTGTGAGTTAGTTGGCCCGTTTCCACATTGAAATGCTGTAGCTGACTGTGAGTTTTCCACTGGATATGTGTAACGCCAAGTGAATGCAAAGAGCACATTCCTTCAGATGACCTGGACAGAAACATTCTTTCTCTTCCTCTCTGCCAAAGTTAAATGTATTCACCTTTAACTGTGGCCTCACTTAGCTTTTAAACAAAATAAAGTAAAAATATCTCTATTTGCTACATTTGACATGCACACAGTGCTTTCGTTTTCTTTGTTAAACAGGACATTCGTAGCATGCCTCCCTGTGTCTTTCACTTTTCACATTTTGGGTCCTTCTTTTTTTTTTTTTTTGGCATCTTTATTTCCTATGAAAACAGAAAGAGCAGTTAGTGGGGTCAGATAAATAAAAGAGAAGGAGAGCTGGAGGAAGAGGTAGAAAAGAGAAAGCAAATACAGAAATATGAAAATTAGTTGTGTTGAAATGATGGTAAATTCTGATTAAGCCAGGGGAGGGGTGTGCGTGCGCGTGTGCATGAAGCATTGATCAATCAAACCTTTGCTCTCTGCAACTGTTAAGTTCGAAACCCATTTAGTTTTGTTTCCTGTAGTTCTTCATTGGTGCAGCAATATAACGAGACTACTCTCACAGATCAAGTACTTTCAAATGTTTTGAAAGTTCACCAAAGCAAGGAAGCTTCAGATAATTCCAGTAGTTAGACAGGCGCATAGGAAGCTTGTTATATCCACACAAACCACTGGTTCATCTAGACCACAGCTGTCTGGACCTGTTGGCAGTGACTCCCTGAGGCTTCAGGCAGAAGTCCTCCCCAAACCTGCCTGTAGAAATAAGGATTTGAAAACAAGACATTTTGGAAACAAGGTATGTTCCACCACTGAACTGCAGCCTTTTTCTGTATTACTAACAGCAGTAGCTCAAATAACTCGTGCATTCATAAACAAATATACATATGTTGAATAGCCACAGGTGTTTTTTCTTGCTCAGGCTGACACAGATACCAGGGTGTTCAGCAAGATGGTAAGTGAGGAGAGTATGTCCAGCAAGATCCAGAATACCGTCTCAGAGAGGCAGCCAGCCTTCAAACTCTCTGCCATGTTTATTTTCATTCAATGGTCTAAGCTAAGTGCCTTAGCTTAGAATGGAACATGCAGAACGTGTGATGCATGGTGAATGGAAAGGATGCTTGGCCCGTTCCAAATGGCTTTAAAGCATGTTCAACCATGTCTTGAGAAAACAGAATATGCTGGTGTTATAATCCTGAGGCTGAAAGCAATAAATGGTTCCATCAATAAATTTTTGCCTAGAATACATTCCCAGTAGAAATCTATGGAGAGCCAGCAGCTGTGGCATTAACTTGCTTCTAGCCTGAGGACAGTATATGCGCAGACATCATTCTTAAAAGGTCCAAGGGGGCAGTAAAAATGAAGTAGCTGTACTCCTGAGTCATCCCAAAGAAATGCATAACAACTTTTGGGGTCCTGTAGCCAGGGGTAGGGTAGGCGTTGTTTTTGTTAATTTTGTTTTTTGACAAACAATTAAAAACAGTTTACAATGTTGTTCAATGCTTATCAATCCTATGAGCTTCCACTTTATTTTTGAACCCGCCCCCCCTGAACTTTTAGATTGATTAGGAGCCCAAAGACCCTGCAGCTGTTGTTTTCTGCTTTGGTTGCTGGCAATTTGGACTATTGTTTCATGATTGTTTCCACATAATCTAAAGATTTGCATTGTCAGTCCTTCCATTTAAAGATACCAAATCCTTGCACCTGAAGTTAAAAAATACTGCCCACCCCACAGCACGTGCAGTTTCTATTTCCCTAAGGAAAACAAAGTCCAAGGAAGTTTTATTTGGCAGCAAATGGGATAGTGAATGCAGGAAGTACTGTGTTGTATTGTGCATTGTCCAAGGGGCAGACACTGACCTGATCCAGGGTTTCCGTGAACCACCAGAGCTTCCTAAGTCACCATATGAGGATATTTTATCTGTCTTAAGGGCATTTCTTGCCCAAAGCTTTTGAAATAGCACAGTATAATCCTTTCTATAAGCCTAACAAGAACCCGCAGAGCCTATTGCACTGTAACATTGCTGAGCCTAAGTGTTTTGCACAACGTCACAATTTTCAAAATTTGAAGGAAATGCTACCAGATTGTGTGGTTTGTGGGTTTTATGATGAGGCCCTGCGAAAGCACCTGTTGACAAAAAGCTTATGTTCCAAGAGGCCCTCAGGGAAGTCTGGCTGCTGCTACAGCAGCAGTGTTCACCCACAAAGGGCATTTAGAAAGGACCCCAGTTGCTTAGCTGGTTAACCACCCTGATCTGTGACTATCAGGCATCCATTGGGTTCAGCAACACAGTTCCTCAGAGTATGTCCTCAGGGGCTCAGAGAAGAACAGGTATTCTTGTAAGGCTGCACAGATGTCAAGCCAGAGTCAAGTCAACCTTCCCAAGTACATGTGTCTCTTCCATGTGATATTATGGAAGAGGCAAGGAACCACATAGCAGTCAGTTCCCATGGCACACCACGGCTCACGGAGCTTTTTTCAGATTCTATTATCTCATCAGAAACATGTCAACAGATCTCCGCATGAGGGGCCCACAAATTTTCCCTCCAAAATCACTAGCTACCGAGTAAAGCAGTTTCCAGTATTAGGGATCTGTGAAGTTAAAGTGTGTTACCAAACATTCCTGGGGATGTTTTGGCTATTTGGCTTGCTGCCCAAAGCAGTTGTATGAGTCTCTTTAGTCTAGATGGGTTTAAGCCATGCTCCTCAAACTACGGCCCACAGGATGGATCTGGCCCGCCATGGCCTTCCATCTGGCCCATGCCAATGTTCCCCGCCCGCTCGCTGTGCAGGCGGGGAGGTGGTGGCTTGCTCACTCGGAGATGGTCTCCAAGAGAGCCAGCTGCCACCACCGCCTGCCTCCCATACACGTGCGCTCGCTGCTCCCTCACAGTGTGGACTGGGAGGTGGTGGCTCGCTTGCTCGGAGATGGTTTTGGACTCACTGGGAGATCTCCGAGGGAGCGAGCCACTGCTGTGCAAGCCCGATGCTGCCTCACGCATGCCTGATGCCGCCTCATGCGTGCCCCCAGGTACCCCCACCTCACCAACGGTCACCACAGCCTTTCAACTGGCCCCCTATTCAGAAAGTTTGAGGACCCCTGATTTAAGCCATTGGCTAGAGTCACAGGCATCCACCAAGTTGGTAGATCAATAATTTGGGAGCATACTTCGTGTTTTAAAAAGTATGTGGGGAAAACAAGGGTTATTCTTTGTGGTCTCTGTGCATCACACATATGGGCTCTTCGCGCATGCATGGAGCGGTTTTTCGGGAAGATTCTAAAGCTGGCTAATT